GAGCCATCTTCTCTTCTTTTAACCGCCTAACGTTCAAATTCAAAGCTTTCACTGACAGCTTCCGGTCAAATCGAAACTAAATTAGTAATCGTTAACGACGGAGGTGGGACTGGGAGAAGCACTCAGATCTTGTACTTGAGTAAAAGTAGAAGTACCGAAGTACAGAATAGCAATACTCTGTTACAATTAAAAGTCCTCCATTCAAAAGGTTACAAGTAAAAGTACAACAGTAAAAGTACTCATTATGCTGATTGTCCCATTTCAGAATAATTTACATGATATGATTTATAATGATTGATCATTAAAGTGTTTTCAAAGCTGGTAAAGGTGCAGCTAGTTTTAATGGCTTTTATATACAGGGTAGCTTGTGAATTGACTCACTTACTTTATTGCACATCATTAATCAAAATCTGTAAGTAATTTAAGGGACTAATACAAGTAGTTGAGTAGAAGTACAATATTTGCCTATGAATTTTAGAAGACAGTAGAGAAAACATGAAATACTCTTACTTAAGTACAGTACTTGAGTAAATGTACTTAGTTACTTTACACCACTGGTTTTATTAACCCAAAATGTAATAATATATGATACGAGTTAGAGAATACATTATTTATAACACACAGTATCAACACGTTGAACATATTGCGGATAAGAGTTTAATAATCCATTGTAAAACATTAATGCAACAGTAAATGAATACACACAATTAGCTCTTTAACACATATAGAGCCCTACAGTTACAGTTTACGAGGAAATATGTCTATGGTGCAATAAATAACATTTGGGCAGAAACATTAAAGTGCAAAACTGCCAGAAAAGTGCAAAATAGCAGCAACATACATAATATGATGTTACATATTATGTATAATTAATAAATAATAGATAGATTCTTATTGTTGACTTAAACAATCACCTGGTTGCTCTATATATCAACCTAATCACTTGATAGAGGTCAAATTTGCTGCAAAATTAACACAATGATATATATTTTTCTGCCTGTGATTTTCTTCCTTCTTTCTCTTTCTTCCCCACACAGCACACTTGCATGACAGCACACCAAAACAGTTTTTCATATCTTCCTGTTAATGCAAACCTTTTATATTGCACTAAGCTGCCGTCACTCTCACCCTGAATAACAGCGAAGTGCTTTCTACATGTGATGGATTAAACTCGAAAGTAGACAGTGAAAAGATCATTTTTGAAACATTTGACCACTCCTGAACTTGCTTTGCTGATGTATAAAGTGCTGAATAATTAAATTACAAATAAATATTTTAAAAACTATCTGTGATCCTTGGTTTGCAGATTTTATATTAAACACTGTTAAAGGTTACATTAAAACTACATTTAAATCATTATTGTCCATTTTCCTTTCTTCTGGTCTCCTGGGCCTGCCAGGAAGAAAGAAAAGCTTGTTAACCCTACTTGTAATACCTCACTATAAAGAGAAGTATGAACACAATGTTAAATATCTCACCTTGTTCGCTTTATTACAACAACAACAACGACGATGATGATGATGATGATGAAAGTGACTGAAACTACAGCAGAAGTCACAAGTGCAGTCCCTGAGGTGGACTGTGTTTTCCCTGCACACAAAACAAGATTAAGGTTAATAACCGTTAAAAGAAAAAGAGGAAGGTGGGAAATGTCAGAGTAACATGATCTGTCATGAGGTGACCCAGAGAGCAGTTGATAACGCAGCAAATCATTGTCCTGTTGGTCGAAATGAAAGCTAAGAAGAAGTGAAACGGAAACAACATGCACAGCTAACACTGTCTCGAGCCTGGGAGTTTTTTGACTTCTTGTAATGTGCAGTATGAGGAAACCTATCAATGATGAGTCACAGCATAGCAGTTTAACAATAGAAGTGTGGCTTACCGGCAGTAAACAAAGGAGACACTTGTAGGAAATTACAACTTTGTGTTAAAAAAAGTTCCATAATGGTCAAAGTAACAGAGGGGGTGCCAAATCCGGCATCCATAACACCAGCTTTGCCAGATCTAAAAGCCCCCTTACATTTTTTTTACCTGGAACCCAGAGTAAAATGCTTTTGATAGCTTGACTTTTATGTGAGTATGACACCCTCCTGTGCCGATTTAAGCAGGCAAAGATACCAACAGCACACTGTGTTCAGTAATAACAATAATTCCGCACATTTCTGGAACTTTTCCAGGATGCGATCGTCATGAGTAACTTCCAGCTAAAGAGCATGTAATACAAAAGGATTGTCAGGCATACCTTCCTCTTCCTGCTTCTCCCTGGCAGGTAAAGAAAAGGGAATCCTCTCGCTCCTTTGTCCCATGGCTCCACTGTTCAGCAGGCAGACCACATGTCCTTCCCACCCAGCAGGAAGTCGCAGAGTGACGTTGCTGCTGCTGGTAAACGTCTTGTCTTCATTTACCACTGTAGTGATTGGCTGCCGGTGTGTGTCGGTGGCTTGAGAAGGGATTTCCCACTGTATGGCTGGAGCTGGTTTTCCTGTAGCAGAGCAGCTGAACACAACCTCTTCATCCTCCTCCTCCTCTTCCTCAGGGTCACTGCTGGGAGCATGCACTTCTGTTTTAAAACTGGATATTCCTTAGAATAGAAAATAAGAAAACACTGACCTAAATGCTTTAAAGGCTTGAGGAGTAACCGATTACAGTTACATGCAAAGAGACGTAATCAGATTATTGTTGCAAAAAACTAAAAGGAGAATAATGTGTTTGTTGCAAAAGGATCAGATTTGATTTGTTCCTTGTAAACTGTACTGTTCACAGCATTTTCTCTCAGTTTAGATTGTATTTCTGCTTTTTAAACTGTAGTATATGTGCTCATGTTTTTCATTGTTGTGTATACTTTACTCTTTAATTTATTTGCATATGAATTGTAGGTAATCCAAGCAATTACATTATTTTGACCTTTACCCTACATGTTGTTGCATTTACCTTGCACTGTGACGCATATCTGCTTCCTCATGGACCCATCAGGATACCGGTTGAAGGCGCAGATATAACAGCTTTCATCCTCCCAGGTGACGTTGGCCAGAGTGATGGAAGATGAGCTGAGCGTCGCTTCTGTGAAGATCACCTTCCCTCTGTAGGGATTATTCACATGCTCCCCAAACCGCTTACTGTACGTCGCTAAATTCTCTATGGGCCTGTCCGGGACAAGCCTTTGCCATGTCACCTGCTGCACATCTGTTGGGAAATGGAAAACATCCAATCAACCATTTTTTTCCAAGTACTAATTGGACTTGGTAAATATTACAATTTTAACAACCAAACAACCAGCAAGCCAGACAGACAGTCAGTCAACCAATCACATCAATAAATACAGTTTTCCTTACCTTTCAGGTTGGCTACAGCACATCCATATTTTGAATCCCGTCCATAGTCCACTGTCATATTGCCATAACCAGTAATCTGTGACATGGATGCTGAGAAGAATCGAAACAGCTGTGTCAGTGTATGATAATGAAAGTAAAACCTGTGCTGTAAACATTCAAAGAAATAACAAGGATTAACTGTGAATAAAATACTAAGCTTATCTGTAGATTTTCAGAAGAGAAAAAGTCCTAGCCTTTAACATATTATGATAACAAATCATAAAATCACTTTAACAATTCTACAAATTAAACATAGACAACATGATATTATACATTTGACAACACAAGAGCTGGATATATATTCTCTAACAGTAGGCAGTGAATTCAGAAGGGTTACCCTCTTCTTACCTGTAAACAGCAAAGCAGTCAGGGTGAGGATCAGTAACATCTTGTTCTGTTGCTGCTGCGTTCAAGTGCACTTTCAGTTCAGCCTCTCCTGCTTTTAAAGGGCAGGGCAGGGCAGAACAAAACTGAAATTAAACTGAAGGAGGGAAAATACAGTCTCAATTCTACTTGATCTCTCCTATAGTATGCATTGCCATGAATGAATGAATGGATGAATGGATGAATGAAGGAATGGATGAATGTTCTATATTATTTTAATGACTGATTGAACTCCAACTGTATTATTTTAGATAGTTTATATTTAACTGCTATGCCTGCCATCTCTGCTCTGTGTCATTGTGTTGTCTCCTGGGTTCTGTAGTGTTCGGAGTCTGTCTTTTTATTATCCCCTCAGGAAGCCTTTGTCTCCTGTCAGGTCATCATTGAAAATAACAATTTGTTCTTAATGGATTTTCCTGGCTAAATAAAGGTTCTACTACTACTACTATTAGTACTACTACTACTACTACTACTACTACTACTACTACTACTACTACTATTACTACTACTATTATTAGTACTACTATTATTATTACTACTACTACTACTACTACTACTATTAGTACTACTACTACTACTAGCTGTTATTGATTTGTTTGAGATTGAGTGCTCTGACAGAGAAAATTATGGCTTTTCTTGTGTCATTAAGAGTTTTATAACAAAATAAAAAGACTGCAGAGATGTAAATTTAAATCATCTACTGGATGATGAAGTACTTTCATGGAATAAGACGATCAACAGTAAAAAAACAAAAAAAGTACATTAAAGACAGCTCCACCATATACAGATGCAAACAATTACATTTTCAATATCATCCAGTTGTATGAGTAGTTTTAGTGTTTTAAGCATAATATCATAATACTTTTTGCTTTTACTTAATGAATGAATAAATAAATAATAATACATTTTATTTATCAAACGCTTTTCCAGGTGCTTTTCGACCAAAAATAAATCGTATCTTCTAAAAATAAATCTTATCTTATATTTGACTTGAACATCATATAACTTGGCTCTTGTTGTAAATATAGATTCCAGTTAATGTGTCTTTACCTTCAGTAATTTGTAGTAAAATAAAAATCCCAGAGCAGAAGTTCCCACAGAGGTGTCACGGTGACACCATATCCCCTCAGTGCATGGTGGGCGCTCTATCAAATCTAAAGGGTGATACCAATGTGAGGCTGCACATTATGAGCCACAGTTTACTCGAGCTGAACTGGAAAGTCCATGAGAAGGCAGTCCTATCTCTAAAACAGAGAAATACAAGTCCTGGTTTTGAGTTTAAATGATTCCTGGATTCACATTTTTGTAAAGCATGTTTCACCTCAATATTTAAAGGGTTCCTATTAGGCTCATGTTCAGGGAGTGAGTGGGAGAGAAACAGATTTTAGCCTTTGCAGACCATTAACATGCACAGAAACGTATATTCACTATTGGAAAGACCCCATGAGATCACCAAAAAGCATACAGTGCCCCTTTAACATCCTTTTAGTTATATGATTTCAGTCATC